TCTTTAAATATGTTTTATAAAAGATAAATAAGAAAGATAAAAAAACAGTGTCTTACATACATTGTTTAGTTCACCACATGTCATAATTTTTTCACTCTAATGTCATTCCTGTAAGAGTTTTTTTCTGTGGAACATGAAAGAAGATTATTTGAGAAAAGTATCTATGTATCTATCTATCTGTTTGTTTGTGTGCTTGTATAGAACTCATGAATAAGTAGTTACCAACTTTCTACAAAATATCTTCATACCAGAAAGTCATACCAGTTTGGAATGACATGTACAGAGCCCTGCAGATGACATGCAAGAAAAATTAAATAAATCGTGCGCACGATTTACTAATTCGTTCCCTCGATGTACTAAAACGTGCACACGATTACTATTTCGTTCCCTCGATTTACTAATTCGTTCTCTTGATTTATAAATCGTGTGCACAATTTAGCAAATCGAGGGAACAAATTAGTAAATCGTGCATACAATTTATAAATCGAGGTAACGAAATAGTAAATCGTGCACACGATTTAGCCCAATATTTTCCCCTGCATGCCATGCGCGGGGCTCCATAGACATGAGAGTGAGTAAATGATGACAGTTTGGTTTTGGTTCAGTGTGCTTTAGACATTCATGCTCCATGTGTTTTTCTTCCGTCTAGAGGGAACGGGATGAGCATTAGCTCACTCTCTCTGAGCTCTGGTATCTGCGTGAGTGTGCAATTTCAAGTTTCGCTCAGGCTGTATGTTCTTCTGTTAGTGTGTGTTGTTCTGTTCTGTGTAGCACATGCTCGTGTTTATTATTGGCCGCGTACTTTCATGTTTGTGTTCTATGTAGCATGAGCTCAGCCGTGTGCTTTCATGTCATGTTATGTGTGGATGTGCAGTCGGTGAGAGCTCTCAATGGCTGTGTATTTGTGTGTCATGTTTTGTGCAGACACATAGCTTGGTTTTGTTTGTTTCTATGTGTCATGTGCTCCGCTGTCCATTGTCTAAATCCCGCCCTTCTTGTTACCTGAGCTGATTGATTTGCTGCACCTGCTCTCCCTCATTACCCCCTTATTTCCTTCTCTATTTATTCCCCTTGTGTTCTCAGTGCTGTGCTAGTTTATTGTGGATGGTTTCGCGTTTAGGATGATTTTCTGTCAGTCCTGCCACTGCCTGCTTGGACTGTGTTTTTCCCCTGTGTGTAATTTTTGTATTTGTTTATTTATGAACTCTAATAAAAAATCCAATTTACCTTTGCATTTATTAGTCCTCCTTCTTCCCTTACTTCACCTGATAATAAATAGCATTCAAAATATATGTGCATACCATGTTTTTCATAAATTCCATTTATATATCCCATATATTTATTAAAAACATATTTTACAATTATTTTTGTATGTGTACAATTCATACTATGACATGCAGTCAAAACAAAATGTATTTATTTCAAATCTTTTTATTACTATTTTCAATGACAGTATATAAGGATATATCATAAAAAAACAGTAAACAACAGGGAACTGTCCAGATTAATCTCTCTCATAAACCTTCCAACCACCCAAATATCCCCTCAAAATAACTCAAATTTTGAAGAGGAAAAAAAAAAAAAAAAAAAAAAGAATAAAATGTAAATGAGTAAATGAATAAAATAACATTAATAATAATAAACTGTAAATTCCTTCTAAAGACTTCCCCTCCAACTCACGACAGGTGGATACAGGAAATTTTCTAGCGTGTTAGGCTTGAGAAATTGAGATGTTCACTCTCTGGTTCACGTAAAATCCTTTTACAAGACTTGGGATCCCTTCTTAAATTACATCAAAGGTTTACCTTGTTCACCTCCAACTGGTAACGATCCATAACTTTCAACTATGAAAAGACTGTATGCTTAAACTTGAGTAGAATAGCCCTTCTGGCCAAGATTGTGGTAAAAGCAAAAACTTTACGATCTCGTGCCGTCAAATCAGGCATA